ATAGTACATACATGACATTTTTCACCTAATCTTTGGCTTTATTATTAATATTTTTATTATTTTTATGTGTTTGTTATTACAAAAATAATTAKCTGGGGCTTGATTCACAAAAGTCAGATTTAAATATCCAGGATTTCACTTGTAAGCTGAGCTTGAACAAGCCTTTAACTCCTAAACAGCTGTAATCAGTTGCTCAAATGTCAAGCCACACTTAAATGGGGCAGCTCGTTCAAGCCAGCTGTAAATCATTTAGGATGAATGCACGTTCATGATTTCTTCCCTGTGGTTAAATAGTTAATCATGGATCATAGAGGTGAAGCAAAACACCACTGTCAATAAACAGAGGGAACAGAAGTGTGGAATTATAGCAGACAATTGGATGCTTAAATATTTTTAGTCTAAACTTGTTCTGCCACTAAATCTGTTTCCAAGTTATCTCAAAATGAACGGCTGATTACTTTGCCTTAAAATGATCACTGGTAGTTCAGGAAATGAACTGAGTATAGATCAGCTGAGCGGCTGGTAGTTAGGGAGAGGGAGGGAGATGTTTCTGAGATGTAAAATAAAGTAGAAACTAAGGTTTTTGTTTCTTTTCAGGACACGGATGCAAATATATTTATTCTGTGCAAAGTGGAAAAAAACATTTAATAATTATATAAAACACACCAATTTCTGATCAGCCACTGCAAATGTAAGCCATCTGAAAATAAATTTAAAATATACTAGATTATACTCTAAATCTTCTCAAGTTTAGTTAAATAATATGCCAGTGCAGTAAAATAATTACACTTTTTAAGACTTTTTAAAATAAAGAAAACTTTCCAAGCTAACAAGATTAATAGGCCAATCAAACACATTCTGTTGTTGTTTAGTATGTCAGTCCTTAAACAAGATCAGAAATAGCTTTTGGTTGGATATAACATTGCAAGACTTGATTAGAAGGATAATGTTTGCAGTGAAGTGACTGCCTGCTGCTCAGAAACAATATCAGATTAAATTAGTTAAGCACTTTGTATTGCCTTGCTGCTGAAAAGTGTTGTATAAATAAATTTTACCTTAGCTTACCTTTTATCTTTAAATCTGGTCTGGACCAGGTTACTTTCAGAGAATGTCATCGTTTGTGCCTCCTCTTTGGTGCAATGGACTTAATCCAAGAATGCACCAAAACCTCAGCTTAATCCCTTATACTAGTTTTGTGCAATGTGCCTCTGGTAAGGTTTGGACAACTGTGATTCTTATTTAGGAATAATAGTAATAAAATATATCTTGTTTTATTTTTAAAAGAGATTCAGTTAAATATAAAGTACATTTTAGTGTTTAAAAAAGCAACACATGTGACACCACTGTCATTACCTGATTATTGTGTGTTGCCTTTAACCATGTGTCATTATAAGTATTTAACTCTTCAAGTTAAGGAATCCATGTTAAACTCATGAACGTGGCTTGCTAAAATATAAAAGTGTAATTCTCAACAAATGAACAATTTAAGTGCTGATGATCCTGATGCGCAATGGGTATTATCACCAATGTCATGTCTGTTAATCCTATACACATATATTACATTGCCCCTTCCATTCTCAACTTTTAGAGAAAATCCTGTTGCCTTGCATTTAAATCTATCTAAAAACTAACATGGCCTGTATGACTGAAAATCTTCGCTGATATGTTGGACAATTTATCTGGTTTAATTAATTCTGCTCTGATATGATTGTAGACCTGGAAACGTGCTCATAGTGCACCAGAATTATCTCTCGGTCAATACTGAAAGTTGTTTGAGGGCAAAAGAGACACAAGAAGTGAAGGGAATAAATTTACAAAAAAAWTTGTCTTTTTTTGCCTCTCTCTATCTCTACTATATTTGACCCTGCTTCCAGACCATTTTTTCTCTCTTTGTCAGTATTCTTTGTCTGTCTTTTCTCCTATTTTGTGTAAACATATATACTTTGTACTCATTTCCCCTTTCTCTTCTTTTACATCTCCTTGATGCTGTATTTATCCCAACTCTTAACCCATATACATTATATATATATATATATATATTTTTTATATATATATATATTTCTAATTGTACTCTCTTTGAAACACCCATTCAAAGTCATTATCACATGATCAGAATTAAAGGTTGTGTATGTGTGTGAGTGTGTGTGTAAAGAGGAGGATAGGTGTTGCCCAGATCACCTTGAGAATTCAATTATACCTCCACTCCTCGTTGTTAAAAAGCACAGGCATGGGCATCCACACACACACACACACACACACACACACACACACACACACACACACACACACACACACACACAC